AATGTGTGTGTGTGTGTGTGTGTGTGTGTGTGTGTGTGTGTGAGAGAGAGAGAGAGAGAGAGAGAGAGAGAGAGAGCCTGCGTGTGTCAGAGTTGAAGCAACATGTATAATCTTATATTAGCGACAGCACCGAGTCGTCTTCTGGCTCTAAAAGTACAGAGCAATCGAAAAGTGATTCACCTGCCTTTTTTCCGCGAATGGCGACAAATCTGGAAACACTTGATCTAAGACACACCTGCAAAAACTGGGATTGCGTTCGGCCGTCACGGTGTGTTGGGTCTGCTCTTTCTCCCCTTCTCCTAAGACGTAAGGCCAATTTATGATATCGTAGTATAATAACTCGAATAATCGTCCCTGCCGTTCAATAGTGTCGCCGGCTAATCTCAATACACTGCAAGGGCCCTTACAGAATGCTCAATGCTACGGTACTCGAAATATCTGGTGTCTGTTATAACACAGTGTTTCCTACATGCTTCAGACAGCGACGTTATACGAGGGGAAATACGCTTCTTTTTTTTTCCTTCAGAATTTTGAACTTTTAACAATTATGTAAAAAGAGAGAAATCAGAGGAGGAAAGGCTTTGGGGAAGTGCATATAATACTTCAAACGGTTGAAGGAGTGGGGAAAGTTGTTCATTTTGATTTCCGCTCCTGATTCGACAGATTCGACTCATTTGGAAAGTAGGCATCAGTTCTAAGGAATTCTTCAACTAAGAAGAGCAACGAGTAGTAGAAAGTTTTTAAAAATTAGTTTATTTACATTAAATTTTAAAAAAAAATTATTTTAGCATTTTGAAAGAGGTGTTGACCAGAATCGGACTGTCCAGTGTACTGTTGCGAACCGAACCAACTTTTTTCGCGCGCTCATATGACCTTATGCAGTTGCGAGCACCGTAAAACTCTTACTACACAAACAAAAGAGTTGATGGACAGTAGGCTACGAGTGTGTGTACTTCTACAGGGTCTCACGGGAGATATTAATAATGCAAAAAGTGGGTAAACATAAGACAAACACAAGTTGAGAAATGTTGAATAAAGTCCACAGATACACGCATGAGCGCGCGCAGAGCACGCACGCACGCGCGCACGCACACACACACACACACACACACACACACACACACACACACACACACACACAAAATAAATCAGCTGGGCGTTAGGGAATTATGCGAAACCAGATAAACCAAATTTAAAGAGAGAGAGAGAGAGAGAGAGAGAGAGAGAGAGATAGAGAGAAAGAGGGGATAGAGAGTAGAGTAAGTTATATATCTCTCTCTCCCTATCTATCTATCCCCTAGAGAGAGAGAGAGAGAGAGAGAGAGAGAGAGAGAGAGAGAGAGAGAGAGAGAGAGA